GCCTTTTGAATGGGGAGCTTAATGCATTCACATTTAGTGTGGTTATTGACAGATATCATTTAATTGCTGTCATTTAATTGCTTTTTGTTTAGATGTTTTAAATATCTTTTGATGCTTAGTTCCCCTTTTATTTCTCTTCTTCCACGTTAGTTGGATATTTGAGGTGGCACAATTTAGCTTCTTGCTCTTTCTCACTGGCATTTTTGATTTAACAGCAGGTTTTGCTCCATGATAGTGACATTCATTATTCAGATTCCAGTGAAGGACTCCCTTGAGAATTTCTTGCAGGGCTGGTCATGTGGTGGTGAACTCCCACAGTTTTTGTTTGTCTGGGAAATATACTATTTCTCCCTCATTTCTGAAGAATATCCTTGCTGGGTAAAGAATTCTTGGCCAGCATTTTTTTTCTTTTATTGTTTTGAATATATCATTCCACTTTCTTCTTGCCTGTATGGTTTCAGTTGAGAAGTCTGCTGTTAGTCTCATAAGGGTTCCCTTATAGGTGACTTGATGCTTTTCTCTTGCTGCTTTTAGAGTTCTCTCTTTGTCTTTGAGGTTTGAAAATTTGACTATAATATGTCTTGGAGAGGATCTTTTTGGATTGAATCTGTTTGGGCACTTTTGAGCTTCCTGGATGTGAAGGTCTGTATCTCTCCCTACCCTGGGAAGTTTTCTGTTATTATTTCCTTGAATAGGTTTTTGATACCTTTTCCTTTCTCCTCCCCTTCTGGAATACCCACATTTTGGATGTTAGAGTGCTTGAGGTTGTCTGCTATCTCTCTTACTCTGAAATTCTTTCTTCTGCCTGTTGCTTAAGCTCTCCATTGTGTTTTTTATTTCAATAAGTGAATCTTTCATTTCTAGGAATTCTGCTACATTCTTTTTTAAGGTATTAATCTCTTTGTAAATTTCCTCCTTCATATTCTGGATATTTTTTCTTGTTTCTTGTGTTCTCTAATTGAGTTTTATTTTCTTTCTTCAAGCTTTCTTAAGATCATTGCTTGGAATTCTTTTTCAGACATTTCAAGGATTCACTGTTCTATGGGGTCTGGAATTTGAGCATTATCGTATTCCTTTGATAGTGTCATACCTTCTTGTTTGTTTGTAGTTCTAGTATTTTTTGTTGATGTTTGGTCATCTGGTAGAGGACTTGCTTCTTCTGTTACTCTGGGGTTGG